AGTGTTTCCCTGAGCTAGTATCTGCTATTAGAGCTTCAGCTTGCAGGTATTATCCAGGACTGCTGAGGATGCCATGGTCTAACAAGTCAACCTCTTTATAGCCACAGGAGTTCAGCTACCTGGAAAAACCATCACTCCTGCTGCCCACTTCCAGCTTCTTAGGCAGCAACAGCAGCAGCAGCAGCAGCAGCAACAGCAGCAGCAGCAGCAGCAACAACAGCAGCAGCAGACCTCCCAGGTTCAAGTTTCACAGCTCCAGGGCCAGGCCCAGTCTCCACAGATCAAAGCTGTGGGCAAGCTGGCACCGGTGAGCATATCCTTCACCATAACATCACAGGCATATCTGACTTGTCTGCAGTTCAGAGCCTGTTTTACAAAAATCTATCATTGTCTTTAGGTAGAGAGCCTGCTTTTTTGTATTTAACACAATTTTTCATCTAGTAAGTGTGACTCATTCTTCTAAGAAGCATTAGGAAACCTTAGCTTCCTGCCAGCAGGTACATCTCCAAGCATTGTATTACCACAGCTCATTTTCCAGAGAACTAAAAAGCTTGTCTGCACCTTTCTTGGAGGGTAGTGTGAAGATGATCCCTCAGTGCTCCTCTTCTGGAGTAGCTAGGTCAAAATATGCTTTTCTTTGCTGCTTGTTTGAAAATTGATGTTCCTCGTTTTGCCAGTCTGTTGTCTTGCTGTCTTTGGTGCTAGTGTGTTTACTTTAGAAGGGAATTGTTATGTCCTTGCAACAAATGCAGCATTAAAAGGAACCAGAAAAACAGATGCAATGTGAGTAGACTGATTGCTGGGTCTGCCATTGTGAGCTGCTGATCAGAGGCTTGACTCACCAGAGCTGAGGTGAGGCCACCTCTGTGAAGCTTGGGAAGGACCCAGAGATGAGTCAGTGGTCCCGTGTGTCTTTTGTGACTCAAAACTCAGATGAAAACTACCTAGCTGTCTGTGGCTACTACACATACCTTCAATCATTTGAAATGCCACAAATTATGACATTCAGTTCCTCATTAAGAGATTATGTTTTAGGGCTCCAAAGCCTCCCCCCCCCAAGGATGTGGCTGCTGAATTATACAGCACCTTTTCTTCCAGTAAACCAGAGTAATTGTTCTCACTACTCTAAGGCCAACAGGGGAAAATTGTATGATAGCATTGAGATTGCTCCAGTCAGCATTTCTCACCCAGCCCAGCTGCAGGAGTCCTGCTCACCCTCTTGTTCCTTTTTTTTTTTTTTTTTAAACCCACATTCTCCTAATTCAGTTTCAAATCCATTGTCATTTCTGATATATCCAGAGAGATCTGATAGTTATGAACAGCTCATACATTTGTGGGAAGGGGGTGGGGTGTCTTTTTTGTTTTTGTTTTTTGAACTAGTGTCTTGATAACTTCTGTTTTTGAGTCAGGTAATATCACGTAACTGATGTTGGCCTTGAACACCTGGTCCTTCCCTCTTTACTTCCATTGTGCTATTAATTGTAAACTTGAGTAATCATGCCCAGCTCATTATCTTGTTATCTTCATAAGGTTTATTGCCAAGTTATTACTATTGATGGAGTGTGGTTACAAAGTCATTATTCTTTATTTAAACTGACTCATGAGAAATAAGAACTTGGAAACCATGCTGTGACCTTAGTGATCTGTCAGAGTTGCTGTCCCCACTTCTGTGAAGTGCTGATTTTTTTTTCTTTTTTTGTTTGTTTTTTGAGACAGGGTTTCTCTGTAGCTTTTGGAGCCTGTCCTGGCATTAGCTCTTGTAAACCAGGCTGGCTTTGAACTCACAGAGATCCGCCTGCCTCTGCCTCCCGAGTGCTGGGATTAAAGGTGTGTGCCACCACCGCCCGGTGAAGTGCTCGTTTTCATTCAGTACATAGTTGGTTTGGGGGATGGTTTACATTCTGTACATGTAATGATAAGGGGGGCTTATGGTTGGTGCATGCGGAGAACATACCTTATTTGGGTTTCAGGAACATATCATCAAGATGCAGAAACAGAAGATGCAACTGCCACCACAGCCCCCACCACCGCAGGCCCAGCAAGGTCCCCCACAGCAGCCGGCACAAGTGCAAGTGCAGACACCACAGCCCCCACAGCAGCAACAGAGTCCTCAGCTTACCACAGTCACAGCCCCACGGCCTGGAGCTTTGCTCACGGGCACCACTGTGGCCAACCTCCAGGTGGCCCGGCTTGTAAGTTCCAGTTTATATATTTATTGTCCAAATACCATCTTTGCATTTACTGAAAGTTTTTTGGGTTTGTTTTTTAAATTGTGGCGGGGAGTGCACATGCCATAGCATGTGTGGTGAGGTTGAACAACTTTGTAGAGTTGGTGGTCTTCTTCCATTGTTACATGAGTTACAGAGATTAAACTCTGATTTCTAGGCTTGTACAACAAGCACCTTAACCTGCTGAACCGTCTCAGCAGACACCTGCATTTCAGCCAGGCTTCTGTTGCCTGCTCAGGATCATGTTAGGTCTTGTGGCAGACTTAGATTCGAAGCAGAAGATTTGGTCCTTACAGAGGATGATTAGATACTAGACTTTTGGCAAGTTGTGCCAGCACTACTTACAGAACCAGCAGAGTGTCACCAGGCCTGTTAGGGACTGAATGGTTGGGGATAACAGAAGGTGAATAGTGAGGGGTAGGCACAGCTTACTGACTGTCCTCTTCTTTGCAGAGGAAGGGTAGGGGCAATCTCAGTATGGCTAGAACACAGAACAGCTGATGTTGCAGGCACCCCAGGTTCCATGCTCAGCTAAATAGTGACCACGTGGCAGCAGGGAGAGCCTTTGAGGGTTTGAAGGAAGGAACATAGCAAGATAGTGATGTCTGAGGATATGCACACACTGTGGTCAATGTGCTGTGGATCTTCTGTGTCACAACAGCCAGTGATGAGTGCCTGTTGGAGGCTTGCCCACCCATGCTTTCCTAGGAGCGCTGTACCAGTTTCCTGGTGTTTTGTATTATGAGCTGTCTTTAACAAGTGAAGGAACTGTGGCACATGGGCTAATTACCTGCTCAGATCCTTTACTTGGCAACTGTAGCTTGTGCTAGGACTGGGGTCCCAGGTACTTGAGCTCCACTCTGTGTATAGGTCTTAGTGAAAGGCCCCCTCCACCAAAGAGGGAGTCTGAGGGTCACTTATTTGAAAAAAAAAAAAAATGCAAGCCTGTTGTGACTGAGTCAGGAGAGTGGTAACAGCTAGTAGATAGGAGCTTAATGGGCTGTTGCAGAGTAGATTGTAATTAGGCCACAAACCTTACATGCTAGTTAATACAATAGTACTCGTCTCCTAGAGAAATAGTGGGGGCTGTTTACAAAGCTTTTGTCAGTGGTAACGAGATCAAATGACTAAATGTTCATTAAATGGACCTAAAAGGTGGGTTAGCAACTGGATTTGTTACTTTTGTTTATCATGGCGGGAAGTTGTGGCAGTGTGAAAAAGAGGAGACAGGTGACATTGCCTCTACACTCAGGAAGCAGAGGCAAATGCCGATGCTTGTCAGACTTTGCTGCTCCTTTTGCCTGTACAGTCTGGGCTCCCAGTTCACATTGAGGTGGGTCTTCCCCTCTGCTCTACAGCCTCCTTACATACTTTCCCAGAGAGTTGTCTCCTGGGCAGTTCTAAATCCAGTCAGGTTGACAATCAAGGTTAACCTTTCATCAGGCAACTTGGAGAGTGCCAGCTGTCAAGGGAAGAGGCAACAGAACCCGGTGACTCATTCTACTGTTGCATTTTTGCACTGATAGAACAGATGCTTAGCAGGCTGAATGTCAGTTTCAATCCCATGTCTGTGGGCACGTTAGGACTGTGGGCAGCTTTTCCTTTCTAGGTTTCTTTTTTATTTTTTATGTGTGTTTGGTAATTGACTCATTTTCATTTGCCGTTTGTAAAATGTAATTTAGGGAGAAGAATGCTTGTGGAAAATTGTAGAATTGGGTTGCCTTGATTGTGTTTTCAGATAGGCGGTTCTGGCAGTGATCTTGGAGAGAAGGGTGTGGTGGAAGAGTGATGTGGGGGAGAGTAAGTGGCACAGAATGAGGAGCAGAAATGAATGTTTGGAATCTTAAGAACACCAGAACATGGCAGTGGGGCAGACAAGCACAAAAGTCTTGTGCAGATTCTGTCTGCATGTGTCTGTTAGTGACAAGCAAAAGTCCTGGGAGATTTTCCTTTAGTGTCACTGCCCCCTCTCCTCTATCTGTGTAATTCTCTTGGCCTCTGGTCAAGAAAAATATTTTTTAAAAAGTAGGAAAGAAAAGGACACACAATGTCTGAATTTCTCTGGATTCTCCTGTTATTTTCACTGTTTAGACCCGGGTCCCTACTTCTCAGCTGCAGGCACAAGGGCAGATGCAAACTCAGACACCCCAGCCTGCTCAGGTGGCCTTGGCAAAGCCTCCAGTGGTATCTGTCCCAGCAGCTGTGGTCTCCTCGCCGGGGGTCACGACCCTGCCTATGAACGTTGCAGGGATCAGCGTGGCAATTGGACAGCCACAAAAAACAGCAGGTACCTTCCTGCAGCTTCTTGCTGTATGCCTTTCCCAGGTGGCTATGCGGTACACAGGGAGCCTTTTCTGTTGGAGATGGTCACTGCCTTGCTCTGTCTTAACACCTGCTTTACACATTTAGTTCTAGGGCTTAGTGTAAATTCTCTTAGGTTTCCAAGTCCCAAGTTTTGGCTCTCAGTTTAACCATTAACATTCTGACATTTCCCTTGTTTGTCGAAACTGGCAGTGGTGGTGCACACCTTTAATCCCAGCACGTGGGAGGCAGTTAGGCAGAGCTGAGTTCAAAGACAGCTAGGGTCACACAGAGAAACTGCCTCAAAAGAAAAAAATAAAACACCACACTGTTTAATTTGCCTTAGTACAATTCTAGGATTTATTCTTTTCTGAACAGAACCTGGATAAACAGGGAACCCTTGCCAGGACCTAACTGACTAGGTATTCTTATAGGGCAGACTGTCGTGGCCCAACCTGTACATGTCCAACAATTGCTGAAGCTCAAGCAGCAAGCAGTCCAGCAGCAGAAGGCCATCCAGCCACAAGTTGCCCAGGGCCAGGCTGCCGTCCAGCAGAAGGTATGGGTTCTTTGTGTGAAGTTTTATTTGAGTGCAGGTTTTTGCTGGGGAGGAGCGTCCAAAGTAAACGGGCTACAAGCCTTACAACAGCGGGGTGGCTAGTATGGTCAGTGTCCCTTGTTTTTCTTTCTGAGATGTAAGGGATGATGATAGGGTGGGCAGAATCAAGCTGGATGCCAGGTATGGATTTACCAGACTGGAAGGGACTAGAAAAGATTAAAAAAGCAGGAATGGCTCTTCATGTGGAATTCACGGGGACTGTGAGTTCAGGGCAAGGAACACTGCCTTCTGTACTTAGAGTGTTTACTAGAAAGGTAGGGCAATGTCAGTATCTTGGGATGGTCTTGACCTTGTTATCTAAAAGGTGCTGTGAAGAGGCCAAATGGTGAAGGCTCTTGGCATCTGTTGAGGGTTTAAATGGGGAACCTGGTTTCACCTGGCTCTGATCCTCTGGTGTCTTTTCTTCAGCTAACCACCCAACAGATCACTGCTCAGGGCCCACAGCAGAAAGTCACCTATGCTGCCCAGCCAGCCCTTAAAACCCAGTTTCTGACCACACCCATCTCCCAGGCCCAGAAACTGGCTGGGACTCAGCAGGTGCAGACACAAATCCAGGTAAGCATGCTGCTGTGTGCAACTCAGTGCAGATGGTAGGGCCTGTGGAAGAGTACCAGCACCCAGCTAGTGTGGCTAACCAGTGCTTGACCTTTTCTGCAGGGCCCTTTCTGGTTAGTAGGCATAGAGCCTTTCAGAGCATAGGGGAGTCTCATGAGTGAGGTCTCAGACTTAAGCTGTTGCTATACCAACTTCTTTTGTGTGTTCATGTGTTAGTGTGTGTATGAGAGACTGACTGTGTGTACATGTACACAGATGGTGTGTGTGTGAGAGAGAGACAGAGACTGACTGACTATTTGTGTGTGCATGCGTACAGATGGTCCCTAAGTAGTCCTGGCCACTCTTGTCATAGATATACAGTGTCATTGCCTGGCTGTGGGTTTGTTTGTGCAGGTCCACCTGGATTCCAGAGCTCCCTGTCTGGTGGGTGGGAACAGGAGAAACTTGGTTACTTTATTAGCTTGTATTTTGGGTAATTGATGAGATTTCATCTTTTCCTGGTTTTTTGACTTTCAAGTCTCCTCTGACATACCTGTCAAGTTGTCTGCCAGGCTAGTTTTCAGTCTAGATATAAGTTGCTTTGGTGACATTTGTGTGTTTCTTCTCACTCAATGGTGTCTTTAGACGAGCTACTAGAGTATCCAGTCTCTGACTAAAGTCTGTCCTAGAGCCTGGCGGTGCATGCCTGTAATCCCAGCACTGGGGAGGCAGGGACAGCTGGATCTCTGGGAGTTTGAGGCCTGCCTGAACTACAGAGTTGGAAAGGCTCTGGACCAGAAAAGTCTCCAAAGCTACACAAAGAAATGCTGTCTCTGTGTAACTCCAGCTTAGGAGACCCAGTCCCTTCTTGCCTCTATAGTACCTGCATTCAATATGCACAGGCACACACACATACATGAAACAAAAAGAAATCCACCCCAGAGGTTGTGGCTTCATGATTTTGCTTTCTCACTTAGCTATTTAATCCAAAGAGGGCCTTGATGAAATCTGTGTATGTGAATGCCTGTTATTTATTTTCAAGGTTGTTTATTAAAAAATGTCCATCCTACCTCCACTCTATCCTGTGGATTCCTCCTGTGTGTTCCATCATGCCCTATTTAATAATTGTGCCACTTGGGTCTCTGGCAGGCATGTTCTTCTGCTCTGTCCTTTAGGAATGTTTTGACGATTTTGGAGTCCAACCACTGTTAGAATTGCATGGATTCAGTAGTAAAAGAGTTGGTAATCTATGATCTTAGCTTCTAAGCCACCAGGAGAATACATCTTCTGATATGTATACGTTAAGGGCCTTATAAATTATGTTAGATGTATTTATTGTGGTATTGGGTATTAATCCCAAAACCTTATGTAAGTATGCTCTGCTGCTGAGCCACATCTCCAGCCTTGTAAAAAAAAAAAAAAAAAAAAAAAAAAAAGAAACTTTTGCTAAGTTGCTAGACAATTTTGAACTCCTTTTGTAGCCCAGGTAGACCATGAAATTGTGAGCTGCCTCCCAAGCAGCTAGCCGATATGAGCGGCTCTGTAGGCGTGGGAATGAAAGCTAGGTCTTCCGTATGAGCTTTCAGTTACTGAGCCAGTGCTGCAGCTCTGCTGTTTGCAAAGTCTTGTTGAAATAAGGGCAGCGGGCTATGTTCCTGGCACCCAGCCGCTGCACGGCTAGCTTTATCTGAAATAATTACTGTATTCTTTTAAACACTGCCTGGCCCATTAGTTCCAGCCTCTTATTGGCTAGCTCTTACATATTGATCTAACCCATTTCTAATAATCTTGTAGCCCACGAGGTGGCTTACCAGGGAAGATCTTAACCTGCGGCTGTGTCAGGTGGGAGAATCATGGCAACTGCCTGACTCGGCTTCTTTCTCCCAGCTGAGTGAGTTCTCTTTACTCCACCCACCTAAGGGTTGGCCTATCAAATGGGCCTAGGCAGTTTCTTTATTAATTAACCAATGAAAGCAACAGATTAGAAAGAAATCACTCCCACATCACAGTCTGTATTCTTAAACAGACTTTATCTTTAGGGAAAGACTGATTTTAAATGCTGCTCCACAATAATTTAAATATGGGCTGGGCGTGGTGGTGCACACTATTAATCCCAGCACTCAGGAGGCAGATGAATCTCTAAATTCAAGGCTTCTCTGGTTTACAGTTTGTTCCAAGACAGCCAGGGCCACACGGAGACCCTGTCTCCAAAAAACCAAAGAAAATAAAATGTTTCTTATAGATAATGGTAATTTTGTACACAACCTTGTTCTCTTAACTATAACCAGGCCTCTCACAAAAGCTGTTTATATCATTTTGTATTATCAATGCATAATACTTTAATGAAAATTTCTTAATGAATTATATTTTGATCATATTCTTTCCCCTGTTACATACAACTCCTCCCAGATCCCTAGACAGAAAGCCTACTTCATTCATATGTTCTGTCTCTGAAAAAGCATACTAAAAAACATGGAATCCATTTGGCCAACTATTTCTGGGCATTGGGTCTGTCCTGGAGTGTGTTTAGCATACCCATGACATTGCATTGAAGAACCTGGATTTTCTCTTTCCCAGCAAATAGCTTCTTGATTGGTGTAGGATTTTGTCAGCTTCCCCTGTGTTTACATTTGTATCTTCTGGCTTGAGCTGTTAATTTTTTTTTTTTTAATCATTAACTGTGTGGTGAGTGCTCTCACACTCTCAAATTCCATACTAATGATCCTTGCTTCCATAGGCTTTAGGGTCTCCTTTGTGCAGGCTTGAGGTTACAGAAGTCTGACTAAAGAATAGTCAGCTAGCTTGATAAGAGTTTCACTATTGCTTAGGCTGGCCTTGCCCAGGCTGACCTCAAACTTACCATCCTTCTGCTCAGGTAGTCTGGTGTGGACTACCATACTTCAGTGTGTGTGGAACTTTTGTAACTTTCATGATTCTAAGAATTCAACCTAGGGCTACATGCATGCTGCACAAGTTTCATTACTGAGCTACAGCTTCAGCGTTGTTCAGTTTTGACAACAGCAAGAAGTGAACACAACAGGAAGTGAACACAGGGCAGAAAGTTTTGCTTTATAGAACGTGAGCTTTCAGTTATGATGGATGAAACCACTGAGAAAGTTTGGTGTCTCTCCTGGTAAGACCTGGCCCACTGGGCTTGCCTCTATACAAAACCTTTATCCGGTGTCACTAAGAACTCAGATGAGTGCAGTTCACTCCCAAATCTAATTCATGTATAATCAGTCCCAAGGAAAAGTTCAAATGTGAACCAAGAATTTTGAGTTATTAAATGGATTGCTTCTGAAAGTGAGTCAGTTGCTCTTTAACCTCCTAGGATCCTGGTGGGCATACTTGAGATTGTTTCTCCATGTTACCTGCCATTATTTGTTTGCTTAAAAGCAGAGAAAGATATTTGTGCATGTATTTTGAATCCTATGCTTGCCTTGTTTTGTCAAAGGTTGCAAAACTTCCTCAAGTTGTACAACAACAAACACCTGTGGCCAGCATCCAGCAGGTTGCATCAGCTTCTCAACAGGTAGAGTGCACAGAAACCTGGAGGGTGCTGGGGGGCAAATGTGTTTCAGAAGCAGAATACTAGTAATTAGAGAATTACTTTTGGCTTTCATAATTCACACAAAAACATGAGCTTTCGGGAAAAATGACCTACTGAAGAGGGGGAATTTCCAAGGAAAAACCAGACCTGTGCCCCAACCTGCTCTCAGCAGGTACCTTTCTAATGTTCCACAAGACAGGATCACAGCTTCTGGGAGAGAAGCTGGCAAGTGAAAACAACCCTTTCTGAACCAGAACCCTCTGGTTTGTTTTTTACTTTCAGTGCAGTAGTATTTGATTAAAGTGGTGACATTATTTTTTTTCACTTTAAGCTGCCCATGAACTTAAAAAAAAAAAAAAATCAACTAACCCCCTTACATTGGTGTACATCCTTTGCTGTTTTGCTGAGGCTACTAGGTGTATGTGATAGTTCTCTGTTAGAGGGACAGCACTGCCAAGGCTGTTCTCCAGTGACCTGTGATCTCATCTTGGCTCAGGCTTCTCCACAGACAGTGACACTCACACAGGCAACGGCAGCAGGGCAACAGGTACAGATGATCCCAACGGTGACTGCCACAGCCCAAGTGGTGCAGCAGAAGCTCATTCAGCAGCAGGTGGTAACTACAGCCTCTGCCTCACTGCAGACCCCTGGTGGTCCAGCCCCAGCACAGCTTCCAGCCAGCTCTGATAGCCCAAGCCAGCAGCCCAAATTACAGATGCGAGTCCCTGCTGTGAGGCTGAAGACACCCACCAAGCCTCCATGCCAATAGGAAGGAAACTGGTTCGTACTATGGGCAAGGCTGTCTTATCTTAGCAGAATGCTCTACTGTTTTTGGACTCTGGGATCTGCTGCTACCTAGGTTGGCCAAAGTGATTTGACTTTCTCCTGTGTGTGACTAACTGAAAAAGTCGACAGTTGCAGTCTTTGATGGTTTCACTGTGTGGGCATTGTCCACATCAGTCTTTTGAAAAGCCCTTTAGTTTCTTCTGTAGTGTACACTACTCAGTTATGTGGTAGGGGCAGCATGTCCTACAGCAGGCTCCAGCTCAGACATGGTCTTTGGTACCACTGAATGTTCAGGGAGATGTAGGAGACAAGAGCAGACCATCAGATGCCCCTACCCCTCTTTCCAGAGCCTTCACTCAATATGCCAGTGAGGTCCTAGCTTGCATTATGAGCACCCATCTTGCACCAGTGGGCAGTGGCTTTCCTTTGAATGAGGCTCTGGGACTGACACCATTTCTGTATAGCCAAGTTTGTGTTTATACACACTGTACTGAGATCCTTCACAGTATTCTTGTGAGAAGCTAGTGTGGGTTACATGTATAGGGCAGCCTGGTGCAGTTGATACCCAGGTTCCCTTATTGTTGTCCTGGTCTAGTCTGGAAGGCATTGCTGTTGTGCCACCCCAGCAACTCTTCATGGATTTAAACAGCTGTTGCAGTGACAGGCCTGCAATTGAAGGAGAAAGGGTTGGAATGAAAGTTCAGTCCTACGTTCACTCTTCTTACCACTGTAAGGTGACTTGTATGGCATTCTTGGGCATAACAGGCTGGCTGTGCCTTCTTACCTGCCAGAGTCGAAGGCCCATGTTCCACATCAGTGCTGAAGCCTGGAAGTTAAGTCTGTGAGGTCTGTGCTGTCAGCACTGCAGCCTTGAAGACAGGAGTTGTATTGAGTATTCTTCCCTGTCATGTCCATCCCACTTTTTGTGTACTGTGTGGGCAGGAATGTGACAATACATCCTGAAGCCCACCTAGAACTCACTTTTGAGCTCATAATGTGAAACTTGGGATAAAAGTAGCAATTAGGTGTTGGAGGTTTAATATTTTCTGAACCACAAACCTGTCCTACAAGCAAAAACCCATTGTTTTGGCTTAGTGTGTGCTGTTAGGGGAAGAATAGCCCTTGGGAGGTTCCTGGGTCCCTGGCTCCCAGAAGCAATTCCTATTCCCCAGTCCTCAGGCAGAACTGAGCTCAGTGGGGGGTCCTTGGTCAATGTTGCACTCACCCTTTTCTCCATCCTTCCCACTGTTGTGGCAGCATACTTCAGTGTGCCCAAGCCAGGTGGTTGGTGGGAGCAAGAGGCAGGGTCTTCATTTTTGGCAGTTACTTTCATCCATTTTTCAACCAAGATAGCTGTTGTTTTCTTTTTTTAAAAAAATGTAATAAGCAGGACTGAAATTGTAAATACTTTGTAAACACAAACATTTGTATTTGAATAGGGTTTTGATGTCCTACAAGCAGAGGCTAATAAAAGTGACCTTTCTACATCCTTGTTTTGTCTTTCATGACCAGTGTTTGGAGTAAGGATGTGTTGGTTAGAAAACAAAGCCTTCTGTGTATGTATTGCTCCAAAGCAATGCAGGGCTTGCATGTTCAAGGTCTTCCTCTTTAGTTCCTTGGCCTTGAAGCTATTCTGACACCTGGGTTCCTGTGCAGCTTTCCACCATGGGTGCTGTGTCTGCTTCAGGACTTCACAGTGCCAAAAGGACTGCAAGTTGAGCCCCTCTTCAGGCACTAGCAAGTAAGTAGAAAAAACACCAGAAAAATAATGTTTTGATTTCTACTTAGAACTGTCATGCAAAAGTGAGCCTTCACACCGCTTCCTTTCTGAAAGGCCTTGGGGGTTCAGCTCATACCCAGCCTCATGCAAGCAGATCCCAGGTGGCCCTCCCTGGCTGGTCCCATGATGTGTCCACCACCTTCACTAGATGCCTGATCTTGTACAAATCCAACAGGTGACAGTCGAATGCTGTTCTTTTTTGTTTTTTGTTTTTTTGAGACAGGGTTTCTCTGTGGTTTTGGTTCCTGTCCTGGAACTAGCACTTGTAGACCAGGCTGGTCTCCGAACTCACAAAGATCTGCCTGCCTCTGCCTCCCAAGTGCTGAGATTCCACCACCGCCAGGCTTGAGTGCTGATCTTGATCGACATAGTAGATGTGATCATTTCTGACACTGTCCATAAAAATGGACCTCAAGCAAGGTGTAGTGGTACACACCCTTAATCCCCAGCAGAGAGGCAAGGGGGATAAAGTTAGCCAGGGGTTTTCAGAGGGGGAATGGGGAAAAAGGACTCACTTTCCTGCCTATCCCTACCCACTGCACAACCCTAAGGCTGACCCCAAACTCATTCATCTTGCCTACCTGCCTACCAAGTCAGTTTTCCCACCACACATTGTATGGAGCTCACAAAGAGCTTCACTCTGTCTTTATTGACAGCAAAGCAAGCACCCCACGGGGAATACTTTATAGAAATCTTTAGCTGAGTTTCACAAGGGAAAAGTCACTGGGTCCAATCAAGCCCAACTGACCCAGATAACAGACATAATTATTTATCAACCAACCAATCTTTATGGTAATTTTAGAAAGTTGCTTCCAAGTCTTTATTTGCTGCTTTAAAAAAAAAAAAAAAGATACATGTGCATTATCTGGGTCAGGGCATGAAGAGTACCTAAGATTACAGTAAAACAGTTTGACACACAGTAGGATAGCAGTCTTAACCTCTGAGCCATCTCTCCAGCCCTAAAGATATTTATTTATTTATTATGTATACAATATTGTCTGTGTGTATGCCTGTAGGTAGGATAGCAGTCTTAAGTAACTTCAAGATGTATTAACACTGTCACCAATAATACTTTGGAAACCTTCTATAGACACATTCTGATATATACATACTAGTTTAAATGAAGTTATTCTATGTTGGGGCGGGGGAAGCTCAAAATCACAACTAGATAACACATGCTAGCAAATAACCCCTGAACCAGGAATGGGTTCCCCTTTTGAGGACCCCCAAACACTGCAGACCATTGCCAATGTTCTTGGGTTACCCTTCAGAACAGAACTTGACATAAGACAAGATGCCACACACTTAAAGCTTATACTCAACCTTGATGCTGCTTCCTTACTGGAATCCTGTGAGCACAATGACTAGTCTGGCAAGATGGCTCACTGGTAGTGTGATAGTGGCAACTGTTTTAAAAAAGGACAGGCTTTCCATGTTATTATATGGAGTGTTCTTGCAGGAAAAAAAAAAAAAAAGGACAGGCTTCTCTGTGTAGCCCTGGCTGTCCTGGAACTTGGCTCTGTAGACCAGGCTGGCCTTAAATTCAGAGATGCCCTTGGTCTAGCCTCCCACGTGCTGGGATTAAAGGTGTGTTTCCCCAGGCCAGGCACCAACTGCTTTCTTAAACGCAGTTTCTTACTTTTTTTTCCCCTTCTGTCTGTTTGCCATGTGTGTGTCTGGTGTCCTTGGAGGGCATCAGAGCTTCTTTAACTGGAATCGCAGGCAGCTATCATGTAGGTACTAGAAACCAAACCTCTGCATCACAGAAAATGCTCAATTACTAATCTCTAGCCCCCCCCCCCCCCACTTTCTGACTGGATCAAAGGCCTGCCCCATGTGATAGAACCCATATTAGGTACTGTTAATGGGGCCAAGAACCTGTGGTTAGACAGGTTATGGGCTCGAAAAACAAATACTATATTCTGTTAATGAGCATACTGTTAAAATGACTTTTGATGATATCCCCATACCCATAGATTAAGTGTACCTCTCAGCTCTCATCATAAAAGCTGACTGCAGTAGATGGCAGCTGCTCAACTGGTACAAAGTAAGAGACCGTGTGGAGTGTTGGGCCCTAAAGGGGACATTCCATACCTCTCTCCAAGGCTCAGAGATCTTCAAGGAAGAGGGTACAGAGAAAAGTTAAGAGCCAGAGGTGGGCTCAGAGATTAAGAGCACTGGCTGCTCTTCCAGAGGTCCTGAGTTCTATTCCCGGCAATCACATTGTGTCTCACAGCCATTTATAGTGAGATTTGGTGACCTCAGGCATACATGGAGGCAGAATAAGGTGGTGCATAATTTAAAGGAAAGCTTTTTTCCAGACACAAGAGAACAATATGACAGCATGCACTATTCTACCAGTAGCTGAGGAAGAACTACTGGAAGTCAGTTTTCTTTGTCCTGTGAGCCCTTGTAGGCACTTTTGAGTAAACAACAAAATCAATTCAGTAGGTTTAAAAAGAACAACAAAAAACTTCGGACTTAGGTGGGTGTGGAGATGAGTGGAGGAGAGTTTCATTTCATTGTATAAGATGTTCAAAGCAGAGGCTGGAGAGATGGCTCAGCTGTTAAGAGCGCTGACTGCTCTTCCAGAGGACCCGGGTTCAATTCCCAGCACCCACATGGCAGCTCACAACTGTCTGAAAATGCAGTTCCACGAGATCTGACACCTTCACACCAATGCACATAAAATAAAGTTAAATTAAAAAAAAAAATCAAAGCATTAGTAATGTCAACATTAAAATGGAAGCCTGACTCTCAGACTAGCTGCTAGCAGATTCTAAATTAATCTCATGAGCATCCAGTGGCCTGTGTTGCTTTCTTGAGCTAGCTTAGGTGTCCTGAATTAGAGGGGTATTAGCGTGTTGAAGCTATCAGGAAATTGGCATGAGTTCAAGTTATCCATTTTTTTTAATATAAATGAAAACAGTTTATCTTAATACTATAGATTTTTCTTTTTACTTATTTAATTTTTTACAAAAAGCACAGTCTCTTTGACTATGTTCAGGTAAGCACTCTCTTGTAATTTACTTCATGCTTATGTGGGTACCATCTTGAAGGCTAGCAGCCATGGAAACATCTTAAACCAACCTATTCCTGGACTTCAGTGACTTGTCTGGGACAGGCTCACCATAGTCTCTCTGTAGACATGAAATGCTAATGCTAGGCACACTTTAATCTGCTGTCACCATAAGGCTGACCATAGTTTCTCCTCACATTCCAGAAGGCACCCTTCAGCGTTACCTGAGCTTATTTCCAAAGACAGTTGGACCCCAGCAGTGCAAACCAAGGGCCATTACTTTTCAGGACCAAGCCAACATCTAGGCTGCCTAGCCCAAGATGACCATGGTGCTTGAAGGGAAGGGTTTCTAGTGGAACCCCAAGGAACCGTATCTTTTGCTTAAACACAACATTCATTTCAGCAGGATATTCCTCTGGGCTTTTGCTCCCATCTAGGCCATCTTCAGCTTTTGCTCTTCCTGTGGAGAAAAGAGATTATCTTTACCTGCTGTCTGCAGAGCCCTTGCCCTACAACTGGGACACAACAAGCGCTGTGCTCAGTAGGCATGTCCCATGGCATGAGGCTGCTTCCTGCTTATCTCCCTTTCCTAGAATGTGTGATGACATTACCAGAGCTGAGCTGGATTTGCAAAAACCCCACCTGGGTCCAAAAGCACTCACCTTGACAATCTTCTCCAGCTGAGACAAGGCCATCTCGTAATGAGGGACCAGGGGCTGCAGGAGCTCCCTGGGGATCTCATGGTGTGCCACCTCAGGCACCCCAGCTTCTGATACCATCTGGAGGAACTTCCTTTCCTAAAGGGAAGGGGTTTCATGGACAGGGTGGGAACAAATGCCATTTGCAGTAGCATTCATTTACCCATGACATCTGCTGGGAACTACATGGTCTTACCTGCACTTTCAGGAGAAGTGTGAAGGCCTGGCCTGTTTTTCCAGCTCGAGCTGTTCTCCCAACCCTGAAACCAAGCATAAGTGTTTTCTGGCCCTAACCCTGGAGACCTAATCGGACACCTGCTCTCTTGGCCACACAGCACACAAACCACGATGCAAGATCCCACGTATAGTGGCCAAGAGCTCATAAGCTCAAAAGCTCCACAGCAGCCACTGCTGACTAGACTTTACCTATGCACGTAAGTTCGTAGGTACTGGGGGGCATCATAGTTGATCACCAGCTCCACACCCTGCACGTCGATGCCTCGAGCAGTAGCATCTGTACTGATAAGGCTGAGGAGACATGGGTACAGGGGCTCAGAGGGCCAGAAACACTTAGCAGTCACATATATACCCACTCTGCCAGAGTTGTTCCAAGGCTCTCTTGGGAGCCAGCTAACCCAGGAACTACAAGGGCCCAGTAACACCCCACCACTACACAGTTAGGTCCTGTTTTCCATGTACTCACAGCTGGATCTTTCCCTGTTCAAACTGCTTCAAGATTTTTTTCCTTTGGCCAGGTCCATAGCGGGAGGAGAATTCAGCCACACTCACACCCCCAAAAGCTTGTATTAACAGGAAGAGCCTGGGTAGGTAAGAAATAGAAGCCAGGTGGTGCCAGGATCTAGTCTGTATTAGCTATATCCCGCCTTGGTTCAGCTTACCTGTGGGAATTCTCTCGAGAGTTAGTGAAGCAAAGGGCCCTTGAGAAGTTCATCCCAAGGACCAGGTGTAAAACAATAAGTGGCTTCGAGCTGAGTTTACAGGGTACATAGTGGTGCTGTGGGACATGGACAGCAGGTGCTAGCCAGAAGCCCTGGGCCTAGGCACCAACTTGCCCCACATGCCCTACTTGCTTACCGTGAGCCCCACAGGGAAGGTGTACTTCCCTCCAAAGTTTCCATCCATCTCAACTGTGTCTTTAGGGCCACTGTGTCCCAGCTTTGTGGAAAAAAGCCTTGGCTGGTAGAGGCCAAGTCGCTGCAGTTTCTCAGGGTTCTGGGTAAGTGTGGCTGAGAACAGTAACTTCTGTAGTGGCATCTGGGGAGAGCAAGTGCTGGAAAACCAAGGGCGTGTTAGGACAGGATTCCTCAAGCCACTCTGACTGCTATTTTAGGGCCAGCAAGGGGAGCTGAGAAAGGGAGCAGCAGGATACCTGGCAGCAGTCACAGCCTGGGGCTGTGTCCTCTGGAGTAGGGGACAGGAGCCTGAGGGGCCTGCACTGTGGAAGGCTGCTGCCACCACTCTGGGCAGCCAGGACTGGTGCATGCTGTCTATCATCCGGTCAGCCTCATCAATGATCTACAGCAGACAGAAACCAAGGGTCAACTGAAGACTCCCCAATGACATCACCCCAGCTCAGGGACCCAGGTTTCCAGAAGGTGGCCTACCAGGAAGCGGAGCTGCTGGAGGCTGAATCCTGGGGTCTGGTCAATGTGGTCCACCAGGCGGCCAGGTGTGGCCACCACAATATCAGCCAGGCATCGGTAACCATCTACCCTACAAACCAGAAAGACTCAAAGAAGGGCCATCTAACAGCAAAGCCTCACATGTAAAGCACTAACACCACCCTAATCAAAGGACACCAGCTGGGCCGGGGAGCGACCTCCTGTAGAGCCCACCACCTGGCACACCTACGTCTTCTGGACAAGGCTCTCCTGCTCCTTGGCCAGTGACTTCTGTCCAGTCACCAAAGCAACCCGCAGAGGTGTGGTATCCGTGTAGATGTTGAATACTTTGCTCACCTGCAAAAGGAGTCTTGTCACTGGTCTAAAATAGACGGTGGCCCCTGCTATGACAAAGACTCTTGAGTTTAACACAGGTGGTCAAGGGATAAGTACCGTGTACATCCAGCAGGGCAACTAAAGCTGGGGATACAGACTTCTGGATACAGAGGGGCATACCTGTTGGGCCAGCTCCTTAGTAGGAAGCACAACCAGTGCACGAATGTGGCAGACCACTCGATGCAGCAGGGCCTGTAGGGACAGAAATGATCTGTGCCACCAGGACCCTCCCTGCTGTGCTCTAGCTAGAAATGTGTACTCTTATACTCACTTGTACCACAGGGACAACAAATGCCAGGGTTTTCCCACTGCCCGTTGGGGCAGACACACAGAGGTCACTAGGTTGGTATCCACCTCTGCCTACTAGAAACCCACTATCTGCACTTTCCAAGAGGGCAGGAATCACAGCTGCCTGGACTGTAATGAAGGAAGAAAAGGAACAGGTGAATTATATGTTAGGATATACCATGTCACCCAGGAGATCTCCTGGCCAAAGATGGCACCTGGATTGGATAAGACCTAAGATAACCATCAGGAACCTGAGCCCAAGGATGCAGAAGCTCACTGATCCAGTGTGAAGTAGGGACCCCTAAACCACAGCCCTTATATTGGAGCCCTGACAGCCCAGGGAAGGCTGCCTTGGGGAGTTCACCCCATCATCTGCCCAGGGCTGAAGGACCTGGAAAGTAGGAAGAGATGCCATTAGCCCTCAGCTGCTTCTGCAAGTCAGGGTGAACCTCATGGATGTCTTCGATAGGAGTAAGATCCTCAGTGACGCTCTTCTTGACACAGCTTGGCTTTGCCAGCCATGCTGGCAGGAAAGGCTGGACCTAAAAGAGTAAAAAAACCACAAGAGTTCTGCAGAGCCCTTCAGGCTCATGGAGCAACACCAGTTATCAGAAACTAGGAACAACAGAAGAGACCCTAACAGCAGCTTCTATAGAGGCACCTAGGGAGAGTAAGTGCTGGAAAACGAGGGCAAACATTAGCAGGGCAGGTTTCCTTAAGCCACCCTGACTCTCATTTTAGGGCCAGCAAGGGGAGCTAAGAAAGGGAGCAGCACTCACATGGAGCAGTCAACCCTGATGCAAGAGCTGACTTAGTCTCTCCTCAACCCTTCACCACCACCCATTCTTGGCAGTCTTCGGACAAGACGCCCAGACCAGCAATTGCCTCACTACGGCCAGAAATGTTTCTGCGGGGGCCGCCAGACACACCAGTGTCCAATAGGTCTTACACGTCTGTGGAGTTCAGTTTTAAGAGTGTCCACACATACCCTAAGGAACTCTATAAGCCTCCCGCCATTCTATAGTTAGGGCCACGTAAGGGCAAAAACAAAACCCACAAACAACACCCCCACCCCGCCCCGATAAAGCTGAAGAATAGCGGGCGGACGGCCAGACTCACTCACCTTCAGTGTCTTCCTTCTTGCAAAGTCCCCCAGCACAGGCCCTGGAGCCGGGGGTCTCGGGGCCTCCTCTGGGGGCTTCTCACCTGAGTCCTCTAAGTCGGTGTTGAGCTCTCCAGGCGACTCTTCGCCTCTCCCTGCGCGACACAACAACAGAGGGGACATAAACCCCGCAGCGCACCCAGGAAAAAGCCTCCAAGCCCCGTCCACATCTCGGCCACATGGCCCACCTGCATGCACACTGTAGTCCGCTTTCTGCCGCTTCGCCCTAGGAGCCTCCGGGCTCTGAGCCACAGAGCAGCCACGCCGCCGCCGGGGCCGTCGACGCCGTTTACCTGCCGCTTCCGCGGCCTCCCCGGCGGGTTCAGGCTTCGGTTCCTGCTGCTGCCGCTCACGGGCTCGGCTTTGCAGCCGCTCGAGCAGCACTCGTGCCCGGCTACCCGCCTCTACCTCTGCATCCCCCAGTCCGGAAGCCTCCGGGCCTGCGTACCGCGCTACGTGGAATAGTGCCATAGTTGCAGCACGCCGTCGCTCTTCCTCGCGCTCCCTGATGACGTGATCAGACCGAGCCATCGCAGACGTCACAGGCGCGACCAAGCTCGGTAGTCCCTCGCGGCGGCATGGGTCGTCACCTGGCTTCGGCGGGCTCCCGTGGGGAGCTTGGCCGTCTACTACAGGCGGTGCTAACGAGCCGTGGCCAGGCCAATGCGGTGTTTGACATCCTGGCTGCACTTCAGGTGAGCGGCGGGGGCGGCCCTGGGGCGGCAAACGGGAATCACTACTGGGCCCAGCGTCACCCTTTCTGACCTCCCGCCTCAGTCCGAGGACCCTGAGGATATCCAGGAAGGAGTGCGTACGTGCAGCCGACTCTTCAGTACCTTGCTGGAACGGGAAGAGCTCTTCGTGGGCTCGCTGCCACGCGAGGATGGGGTCCTGGCAGGTAAAGTGACCTGGAGGGGCTGGGGTGCTGTCCGCCAGGCCGCCCCAACGGGATCCGCCTTATTAAATGACACCAGGAGGAACACGCCAAGCCGAGGCCCTGCAGGAGGACTCAGTCCATTGTGGCTCAGAAAGTGAGATCCGTGTACTTGCCAGGCCTACACGAACTCGTATACTAGCAACTTTTTTCCTCAGGGTTTTAGTTGTGCCACTTCAAAGTTTGGTGCTGTCACTGCCCTAGTGTTTGGAAGATCCAGATCCTGAGGCAAAGTGAGAAGAACTGTATTTTAATATCTAGTCCCAGTTTGCAGAGATCAGAAATGGTCTTTTCCAAGGCCTGGTCTGGGTACAGGTTCACAACTGAAGATGGGAGACCTTGGGAAGGCGGGACTGGGTTCAGGACCTTGGTCTGGCTTGGCACACAAACATCAATGGGAGTTAGCTCTCCTCTGTTCTCAGGATCCCAGGGAGCCACACACAAATACAAAGTTTGGATGAGACACCGCTATCACAGCTGCTGTAATCGCCTGGAGGAGCTCCTGACCCATCCCTCCTTCCAAGTCAAGGTGAGTCTTGAAGTCCTTGGCCCAGCTTCTCTAAAGCACAGGTGTAGGGGCTGCTTTTGTGAACACCTCTCTCCCTGTTTAAGAGAAGTTACATGTCTTCATTGCTCTTTTTCTTCCACAAAAATTTATGGTATGGTATTTGTGGTATGATTTATCTGGCTCTGAAGATGTAGTGTCTGTAACCCTAGTTCTGGGCACCGTATCTGCTTTGCATATTGTCATGTTTGGTGTGGTATCTCCAAAATTGCTTGATGAGAGAGCAGTTAGGTGGCTTCCCCTGCAAGCCCAGCTTGTGTACATGCCTC